CCATCAGTTTCAAGTTCTCACCGATTCACATTCTGCATTAGACTTCCCATTGTTTACCAATTCATGCTGAAGGAAAACTGCAAAAGAGTATGTTTTGATATTTCCGTTATAAGCTGTTTGATAAAAAGTATGTCCACAACAGATAATGTCTTCAGTTCCTCTTGAAACCAAGTAACCATCCATCAAAACTAGAGTGAAACCGAAGAATGCAGCACATATTTTACAAACTCATAATTTTGGGCATGCTTGTACCTTGCACAAACAAATTAATTAAAATTTAAAAGAAAGGGGAGAAGAGAAGGAACAGGGGTGAAGGGGGGGGGGGATAGAGAAAGTACTCAGGAGAATCTAATATGAATTGGAAAAGGAATTGGGTATAGGGCGTGATGACAGTCTTTGTCGCATATGATGCATTGACTTTGGACTGTAAACACAGAAAGAAAAGATCAATTTTCTGAAATATAGAAGGTTAATTATTTGACAATCTCGATTTCAAGAACTGCATATACCCGGTACGTTTTTCAGTCCGTTTAAAAGACAATCTGGATTTCAGCACCATGTCACCGGTCTTCGTTTTCTCCTTTTTCATGTATGTGAATGTGAGGAACATTCCTGAAAGGCAGGCGCATTACAGTAATATAACTTGAAAAAAATATATAATCATGTGTTACCATACATTCTTAAATAAAGCTTCCTATTTCTAAGTCATCTCATACTTGTAAAAATATCTATATCCAACCTACAGAATAAGGTATAATTTTCACTATTCATGGAAGATGTAATCTCAATGGGAAATCCTGTACTCATCTTGGACCAAATCAATGCCTGTAGAAATGAGAGAAAAGGATAAGTTCTTAAATTATAGTACATGCTGATAAACCCTAATAACCCTAGCAGTACAAAATATTCTCTTATTCCAAAGGCATATTCCACCACCCTCGCCCACCTCCAATAACAAAAAAAAAAACAAGACAAGGAATATAACACAAATAACTAAGACTCAAAAAGTTGAATTAGAAGAATGTCAGATGATCAGATCAAGACCATTTGCTCAATGTACCATCTATGCACACATACCAAATTTCTCACGTTGTCTGTTTCATACTTTGTTCAAGACAAGACTGTGGAAGAACACTTCCTTAGAAAAAGGATCATGTGTACAGAGTTACAATAATCAAAAGTTTCCACTTGGATCTAAGACAATCTTCGAAATATATACATTAATAACTAAACAAGAGCAGTCAATCTAAAATACCTTTATTCATCCTAATTGAAGGTCAAGAAAATCTGGATTTCAGCACCATGCCATAGGTCTTTGTTTTCCTGTTTTATATGTATATGAATGTGAGGAACTTCCTGAAAGGAAGGCGTAATACAATATTTTGAACATGAGGAACATTCCTAATTGAAGACTTGGAACATGCAAAAGTTCCCACTAAACATTAAGTGTAAAGGAAAACAACACTATTATGTGATGTGCATACAAAAAAATGCAATAACAGATGAAAGAAGCTCAATAGTAGAAAGAGTAAAAAGAGATTAGATAGATGATCTTCTTTATTAGCAACAGATTAAAGAAAAGTTGGGTGAAAAGACCAGCCGGGCAAGTTCTAGGTGACAAAAATGAACACAAGGCATTTCAATAACTCATCACACATGGCCAGCAAAATCAATAAAAATGATTCAAAATCTTACTTCCTTTTGAATATACAAGTAGCATTGAACATTTTGACCGCTAATTATTCAAAAGTCACAAAAGGAGTTGTAAGAGTTGTCAAAAATCATTCAAAATCTTATGCTCATGATTCACATGTATGACTATACACTTAGTACCAGCTAAGTCGAAACATTCCCACAATGAAGATGATTTTGGCCTTAAGAAAGCCCTCAACCAATCCATCATCAGGCAGCCTCATGCATCTATTTGGGAACAACCACTCAAACTTTGCCACAATCAACATCAATAGTTTCACAAGCAATCAATGATTTAACATTAAGAAGGACACCACTCTCTATTCATCATCGAGCATTGTTAATCCAAATAAAAAAAATATTAAAATGAAAAAAACAAAAAAATTACAAACTACAAATAAAAAACTAAAATAGATTAATCCAATACAATATCTATTGAAACATTTACAACATCGAACCCCGACAAGGGCATACCAATGCACAAAAAGGAAGAAAAGTATGCCCAATAAGGCACAATCGTAGTATGCAGAAACAATCAAATAATGAGTAAAAGGGAGGCACTCCCAACTAAATATGAGACTGTATCCTCACAATCCAAATATCAAACGAAAATACGAGGGACTACTAAAGCACGCTTACTATAATCAACAGGGAAAAGATTGAGAAGGTAAATGTCATTAGGAAGTAGTTTGATTTAAAAAAGTGATCTTAGATTGTAATTGAGCATAAGATGAAACTAACTAGTACTTACTATAATATTGAAGTACTTGGTAGCCTTAAGATCATGCTTAAAGAGTGCCTCTAAATTCCCAATATTTACAAATTCAAGCTGAAGGAAAACTGCAAAAGAGACTATTTTGATGTTTCCGTTATAAGCCGTTTCATAAGAAATATGTCCACAGCAGATGTATGGTACTTGTTCTCAAGAGGAACTGAAGGCATAATGTATGTTCTTCTGGTGAACCTTATAAGCACATTTTTCCTACAATCAATTAAAAACTAAACTGAAACCAAAGAATGCAACACATATTTTACGAACTCAAAATTGTGGACATGCTTGTGGATTGAGAAAACAAATTGATTTGAACAAATAGAAGAAGAGAAGGGAGAGTGGTGAAGGGGCGCAGAGGAGATAGAGAAAGTACTTAGGAGAATCTGATATAAATAAGAAAAGAAATTCGGCATAGGGCATGATGACAGCCATTTGTCAGATGTAATGCATTGACTTTGGACTGTAAACTCAGAAAGAAATCATAATATAGAAGGTGAATAATTTGACTAAGTTTCTTTCAACGCATGAATGAGGTGAAATTTAGGAGAACTTCTGTCACAATTATTCAAGAACTACATACTCGGTATGTTGTCCAGTTCCTTTCAATGACAATCTAGGTTTCATCACCATGCCACCGGGTCTTTGTTTTCCTGTTTTTCATGTATATGAATGTGAGGAACATTCTTGAAATGAAGGCCAAATACAGTAATATACCTTGGAAAACAAAACAATATAATCTGTGTTACCATGCATTCTAAAATATAGCTTTCTTTTCCCAAGTCATCTCATACTTGTAAATATCAATATCCATCCTACAGAATAAGGTATAGTTTTTACTGGTCATGGAAGATGTTATCTAAATGGGAAGTCATAAATTTTACTTCCTTTTCAAAAACATTCCCAAAATGACGATGATTTTCCCTTAAGAAAGTCGTCAACCAATCCATCAACATGCAACTTCATGCATCTATTCAGGAAATGCCTACTCAAACTTCAACACAATCAATGCCAATCAAACATTCAGAAGCAATTGATGATTTAACATTAAGAAGGATGTTACTCTCTATCCATCATCGGACATCGTTAATCAAAATCTTATTATAAATAAAAGCTACTATAATGTTGATAGAAAAAATGATCTTAGAAAATTGTAATTGAGCATAAAATGAAACTAGCCAACACTTACTATAATGTTGAAGTGCTTGGTAGCCATAGGAAAATGCTTAAAGAGTAATAAAGAATTGGTCAGAAAACTCAGCATCGATCTTGCACACTTGCAAATTAATCAACATTTAAACAATAAGATTCAAGGGAGAGCTCCATGGTGGAAATACAGACAACCCAAACCCTTAGTTCAAATTTCCAAAAAAAAATCACTTGTTTGAATACCTGAGAGAAGTTCAAGAACTTCACGAATAGTAACTTCACTCTATCAAAATAAATTAAACATCAATAGTTTCTTAAAAACTAAAAATTCCATTTATAGTTCTATGGAGACTATGCAACTTGGTTTCTCTTTTTTTGGAATTACCATTTGATTGGATTCATTTATATTTTCCACTAATCCTCGGTGTATCTGCAGACTTGGCAGAGTTTCCAAATAAATAAATGTCCTCACATTGCAGCTCACACTGCACCTTAGATAATACAACTTCAGTATCAGATAATATATCACTCAAGTGTCAGCAGATAAATATTACTTCATTGACATCTTTAATCATCAAACTAATGTGTGATTATAGCATTAGAAAAAGATAAAATTATAAGACATCCAAAATCATCAAACTAATGTGTGATTATAACATTAGAAAAAAGTCAAAATGAGATAAAAGGAGAAATTCAAATCCATTGAGGACTAGATGAGAATATAATACAAATGACTAAAGGCTCAAAAAGTAGAACAGAAGAACGTCAGATGATCAGGTCAAGACCAATTGCTCAACGTACTATCTTTGCATAAATACCAAATTTCCCACGTGTCTATTTCAATGAATACTTTGTTCAAGAAAAAACTGCAGAAGAACACTTTCTTAGAAAAAGGATCATGTGTAGTAATACATAGTAGTTACAATAATAAAAAAGTTACCACTTGGATCTACGATAATCTTAGTAAAGTATACCTTAATAACTAACTAAACAAGAGGAACCAATCTAAAATACCTTTGTTCCTCCTAATTGAAGGTCAAGAAAAAATGAAAGAAGTTGGAACTTAATAAATGCAAAAGTTCCCACTAAATATCAAGTATAAAGAAAAATAACAGTATTATGTAACGTGCACACCAAAACACGCAATAACAGATGAAAGAAGCTCAATATGTAACGTGCACACCAAAACACGCAATATTAGAACTTAATAAATGCAAAAGTTCCCACTACACAACAACTCATCGTTTCCAACTTTCACCACTTTTCTTCATTTTTCAAACCCATTGACATCCTTAATCATCAAACTAATGTGTGATTATAACATTATAAAAAAGTTAAAATGATAAGACATCCTTAATCATTAAACTAATGTGTGATTATAACATTAGAAAAAAATTTGAAATTATAAGACATTCTAAACATATAAGAAAAGAAACTTACATTGTCAAAACCAACAATGTTTTTGTTATCTGCAAAGAACTCGGCGAGAGACTACACAAATTTAAAACACAAAATGAAAATTAATCCAAGAAAATAAAAGGCAACAAACCATTTAGCTTAGAAGTTTCGTCTAGACTCAACTAATAGAATAACAGAGAGAGAGAGAGAGAGAGAAAACAAACTCTGTTTGAGAATGCTATCTTTAGGTATGCATAAATGTTTGATAATCTAGCCAAAATCGATCATCATGTCGTTTAATATAATCTGAGAAAGTGCCAATACAACGTTCTTCCGCACAGAAACTGATGAAACTCTTATTCATCCATACATAAGCTCTGTCCATGGGTTTAAGAGATTAGAAAAATGAACTGCCAAATCTCCAAGAGAAACCGTGTAATTTGATCAAACTATTTTGAAAAATTTCATTCCCACAACAATAAAAATAAGCAGGAGATTTGCATCACTAATAAGTAATATTTCGCGCCACTGGTTTTTCAACCAAGCGCGATGGCCAATTGTGTGAACCAATGCTTCCTCTAGTACTTGGTTGAATTGCTATTGCAACACTGTCATCAGTAGGGTAAAACTAACTTGTCTTAGGACGGTCTAAACCCAGCTCACGTTCCCTATTGGTAGGTGAACAATCCAACACTTGGTGAATTCTGCTTCACAATGATAGGAAGAGTCGACATCGAAGGATAAAAAAGAAACATCGCTATAAACGCTTGGCTTACACAAGCCAGTTATCCCTTTGGTAAATTTTGTGACACCTCTAGCTTCGAATTCCAAAGGTCTAAAGGATCGTTAGGCCATACTTTCATAATTCGTGTTAGTACTGGAAATCAGAATCAAATGAGCTTTTACCCTTCTGTTCCACACAAGATTTTCTGTTCTTGTTGAGCTCATCTTAGGACACCTGTGTTATCTTTTAACTTATGTGCCGCTCCATCCAAACTCCCCACCTAAAAATGTCTTCATCCTGGATCGGCCTGTGAAGCGATCCTTGGGTCCAAAAAGAGGGGTAGTGCCCCGCTTCCGATCCACGGAATAAGTAAAATAACATTAAAAGTAGTGATATTTCACTTTCGCCTTTTGGCTCCCACTTATACTACACCTTCAAGTCATTTCACAAAGTCGGACTAGAGTCAATCTCAACAGGGGCTTGTTTCCCCGCTGATTTTTCCAAGCCAACGCCCTTGGTTGTGGTTTCGCTGGATAGTAGACAGGGACATTGGGGATCTCGTTAATCCATTCATGCGCGTCACTAATTAGATGACAAGGAATTTGGCTACTTTAAAGGAGTCATAGTTACTCCCGCCGTTTACCCGCGGTTGGTTGAATTTCTTCACTTTGACATTCAGAGCACTGGGAAGAAATCACATTGCGTAAACATCTGTTTGGATCATCGAAATTCTTTGTTTTAATTAAACAGTCGAATTCCCCTTGGTTGTACCAGTTCTGAGTTGGTTGTTCGATGCTCGGGAAAGAACCCCGAAGGAACCGTTCCAAGACCGTCCCCTAGTTGACACGCGGTGACCCGTTCTCATCACGAGATCAGCTCGAGCAGTCCATCGACTGCCGATGGGTTTGGGACTGGGACCCCCGTCCCCAGCCCTCAAAGCCAATCCATTTCCCGAAGTTACGGATCCATTTTGCTAACTTCTTTTGCCTACATTGTTCTATCGACCATAGGTTGTTCACCTTGGAGACCTGATGTGGTTATGAGTACAACCAGGCGTGGACGACATTAGGTCCTTCGGATTTTCAAGAACCCGAGAGCGCAACGGAAACCATGCGATGTGCGGTGCTCTTGCAACCGTTGGACCCTACCTCCGGCTGAGTCGATTCTTGTGCGGGCAGGTTGTTAAAAAGAAAAGATAAATCTTCCCGAGGTTCCCGCTAATGTGTCTAAACTTCCTAACATTGTCGTCAACTGCCACGTCCTGGTTTAGGAGATTTAACCCGATTCCCTTTTGAAGAACGCGCAAAATGCGCTATCTGTCATGGTTTCCTCGACCCTTAGGATCAACTAACCCATGTGCAAGTGTCGTTCACATGGAACATTTCCTCTCTTCAGCCTTCAAAGTTCTCATTTGAATATTTGCTATTACCACCGATGGACGCTCCGCCCAGGCTCACGCCCAAGGTTTTGCAGCGACTGCCGCACCCTCCTACTCATCAAGGCCTGGAATTTGCCCCACGGCCGGGTGTAGATCGCGCGCTTAAGCGCCATCCATTTTCGAGGCTAGTTGATTCGGCAGGTGAGTTATTACACACTCCTTAGCGGATTTTGACTTCCATGACCACCGTCCTGCTGTCTTAATCGACCAATACCCTTTGTGGGATCTAGGTTAGTGAGCAGTTTGGCACCATAACCCAGCTTCTGGTTCATCCCACATCGCCAATTCTGCTTACCAAAAATGGCCCACTTGGAGCTCTTGATTTCGTGGCGTGGCTCAACAAAGCAGTCGCGCCATCCTACCTATTTAAAGTTTGAGAATAGGTCGAGGGCGTTACACCCCCGAACCTCTAATCATTGGCTTTACCCGATAGAACTCGCATGCGAGCTCCAGCTATCCTGAGGGAAACTTCAGAAGGAACCAGCTACTAGATGGTTCGATTAGTCTTTCGCCCCTATACCCAAGTCAGAAGAAAGATTTGCACGTCAGTATCGCGGTGGGCCTCCACCAGAGTTTCTTTTGGCTTCGTCCCGCTAAGGCATAGTTCACCATCTTTCGGGACCCGACATATATGCTCACACTCGAACCCTTCTCAGAAGATCTAGGTCGATCGGCGGTGCACCCCCCAGGGGGATCCAACCAATCAGCTTCCTTACACCTTACAGGTTTACTCACCTGTTGACTCGCACACATGTCAGACTTCTTGGTTCGTGTTTCAAGATGGGTCGAATGGGGAGCCCACAAGCCAGCGTCCAGAGAGCATAGATGCCGAAGCACGCCAGAGGCGCACGCTACCTGCAACAATCTAGGAGACAACATTCCACGGGCGTATCGAGAGCCCAGACTTTGGCCGCCCCCAATCCACACTAGTCCATGCCCCGAGTCGATTGGCGGATCGACTCATCACCATTCTACATCTGACCGGGGGGCATCGCCGACCCCCATCCGCTTTCCTCTTGACAATTTCAAGCACCCTTTGACTCTCTTTTCAAAGTCCTTTTCATCTTTCCCTCGCGCTACTTGTTCGCTATCAGTCTCTCGCCTGTATTTAGCCTTGGACAAAATTCACCGCCCAATTTGGGCTGCATTCCCAAACAACCCAACTCGTAGACAGCGCCCCATGGTGCGACAGGGTCCGGGAACAACGGGACTCTCACCCGCTCTAGCGCCTCCTTCCATGGGACTTAGGCCCGGTCTACTGTTGGGGACGCTTCCCTAGAATACAATTTGGACGATGGAGCCGCCCGATTCTAAGGCTAGGCTATTCCCAAATCGCTCGCCGTTACTAAATAAATCCTTGTAAGTTTCTTTTTCTTCTCTAATTGATATTCTTAAACTCAGCGGGTAATCCCGTCTGACCTAGGGTCGCAGTCGGAGTGCCTTAGGAGGCGCAATGAGGGTCTGGGAGTCCAGATGCGCGATGGGTTGTAGCCGAAACAACAAGAGAGAGTTGAGTCTCAACCACCACTTGTCGCGACGTCCGTCGACGTGGACTCACATTTAGTCAAGTCATGTGCTCGGGGCGCACGAGAGGCCAGCTTTCGCCCAAACGCTGAGCCTTGCAACGTGCAGGGGGCGACACGATGCGTGATGCCAAGGCAGATATGTCCTCGGCCTAATTGTTTCAGGCGCAACTTAGGTTCAAATATTCGATGGTTCACCGTATTCTACAATTCACACAAAGTATCGCATTTCGCTACGTTCTTCATTTATGCGAGAGTCGAGATATCTATTGCCGAGAGTCGTTAGTATTTAGAGAGCAGCGCTCGTACCCCCCACGCGATCCGCGAATAGGGCGCAAGGGGAGGGTTGTTAATTTTAGTATACCTTGGTGCTTTCTGCATCGGGGTTCGTTAGTCAACCAAAGAGCTTGCGCGCGTCGGGCGATAGGAGGGAGGCACGCAACGAGGGAGCGCCGCCCCAAGTGTTTAAGACGATGCAGGTTTCATCAATTATCCTTCTGCAGGTTTACCTACAGAAACCTTGTTACAACTTCTCCTTCCTCTAAATGATAAGGTTTAATGGACTTCTCACAATGTCGCGGGCAGTAAATCGCCCACGTCGCCGCGATCTGACAATTTCACCAAATCATTCAATCGATAGGAGCAAAGGGCGGTGTGTACAAAGGGAACGGACGTAGTTAACGTGAGCTGATGACTCGCGCTCACTAGGAATTCCTTGTTGAATACCAACAATTGCAATCCCCATCACGATGAAATTTTAAAGATTACCTGAGCCTGTCGACCAAGGATATAAGCTTATTGAATACATCAATATAACGCGCGTGCGGCCCAGAATATCTAAGGGCATCACAGAACTGTTATGACCTTAAACTTCTGGGGCCTAAAAGGTCATAATCCCTCTAAGAAGCTGGTCGCGAAGGGATACCTCCACATAGCTAGATAAAAGACTGAGGTCTCGTTCATTAACGGAATTAACCAGACAAATTTTTCCACCAACTAAGAACGACCATGCACCACAACCTATAGAATCATGAAAGAGCTCTCAGTCTGTCAATCCTTACTATGTCTGGACCTAATAAGTTTCCCTGTGTTGAGTCAAAGCTGCAGGATCCACTCCTGGTGTGCCCTTCCATTAATTCCTTTATGTTTCAGCCTTGCGACCATACTACCCCCCCCTCCCCGAACCCAAAAATTTTGATTTCTCATAAGGTGCCGACGGAGTCCTAAAAGCAACATCCGCCGATCCATGGTCTGCATTATTTATGGTTAAGATTAGGACGATATCTGATCGTCTTCGAGCCCCCATCTTTCATTCTTGATTAATGAAAACATCCTTGGCAAATGCTTTTGCAGTTGTTCGTCTTTCATAAATCCAAGAATTTCACCTCAGAATATGAAATACGAATGCCCCTGACTGTCCCTATTAAACATTACTCCAATCCTGAAGGCCAACATAATAGGACCAAAATCCTATAATGTTATCCCATGCTAATGTATATAGAGCTAGGCTTGCTTTGAGCACTCTAATTTCTTCAAAGTAACAGTACCGGAGGTACAGCGCAGCCAATTAAGGCCAGGAGCGCATCTTCGACAGAAGGGACGAGAGGACCGGTGCACACCTAGGGTGGATCGTCCGGCCCATCCCAAAGTTCAACTACGAGCTTTTTAACTAGAATAACTTAAATATATGCTATTGGAGCTGGAACTAGTGCGGCTGCTGGCACCAGACTTGCCCTCCAGTGGATTTAGATTGTACTCATTCCAATTACCAGACTCATAGAGCCCGATATTGTTATTTATTGTCACTACCTCCCTTTGTCAGGATTGGGTAATTTGCGCGCCTGCTGCCTTCCTTGGATGTGGTAGTTGTTTCTCACTCCCTCTATGAAATCGAACCCTAATTCTCTGTCCCCCATCACCACCATGGTAGGACACTATCCTACCATCGAAAGTTGATAGGGCAAAATTTTGAATAATGTGTCGCCGGTACGATGGTCGTGCGATCTATCGGGTTATCATGAATCATCGCAGGAACGAGCAGAGACCGCGTCGACCTTTTATCTAATAAATGCATCCCTTTCTAGAAGTTGGGGTTTATTGTATGTATTATCTCTAGAATTACTACAGTTATCCAAGTAGTAGATACCATCAAACAAACTATAACTGATTTAATGATCCATTCGTAGTTTCACAGTCTGAATTTATTCATACTTACACATGCATGGATTAATCTTTGAGACAAGCATATGACTACTGGCAACATCAACCAGGTCACATTCCTCAACAATGATGGCATGCCACGCCCGATGTCGTCCGACCATGTGTGCCATCCAAGGGCCATAATGGCATGTCACGCCCGACATTGTCCGACCGTGTGTGCTGTCTAAGGACCATGACGGCACATGCCACGCCTGACACCGTCCGACCGTCTGTGCTGCCCAAGGACAATGATGTTATGCCACTACCGACTTCGTTTGACCGTTCAGCTAGTCCAAAGGTGATGATGGCATGCCAGGCCCGACTTTGTCCGACCGTGTGTGCTGTCGAATGGACATGATGGCATGCCACGCCTGATGATGGCCGACAGTGTGTGTTGTCCAAGGGCTATGATGGCATGCCACACCCGACGACGGCCGACTGTGTGTGTTGTCCAAGGGTGGATGTCGGGCGTGCATTGACGGAGCTATTCACGTACGGCGCATGAGTGGTATTGGGTATGTGTGGTTAGGTTAGATCCCTGCTTCGAGCAGCGACGTCCTAACTCGCAGGCCATCTCGGTGGCGGATGAAACTCAATCTAGGCTAGTCGATCTTGGGAATCCTGTGCTGCATACCTAATACCTAGGCATTGTGACGTGCACCTAATCGCCTTTTGCCCCTCGCATTCCATGCGTGGGCTGAACCCAAAAGATGCTCTCGCATCGCACGCCTTCCCTCGCTTTGTCGTGTGATGGCATGGTCCATGAGCGGCACCTCGAATTGAGCGCCCACGCAACATGCCTACTAAGCCCATATGACGCCCGTGACGTCCGATTGCCTTTGCCTCACTCGCCCCATTGACGTTGCCGGCGTGTTTTTGTAAACGCCCAACGGCATAGCATGGACAAGCCATGCATGCCGTCAAGCTCCCACGCAGCACACCTACTAAGCCCACGGGAAACCTATGTCGTTTGCCTGCCTGTGCCTCAGTCTGCCTCCAACACCTCTACCACCCTTATATATGTTCAAAAAAGTTCTACCTATGTGACTGGAGGAGACATGGATTTTCCAGAGAATCATAATGGAAATGTACAACCCAAATATGCACGTTCTAAGGTACAAGCACACATTAGCTTTCACAAATGACTTTTATATATAAAAAAATATTTTTGAACAGTTTTTTTATTTTTTTTTAAATTTCGAAAATAGTAATAAACTAATGAAAAATATCGAAAAATATGAAATAAACATCGAAAACTCACAAATAAATATGGTAACCTAAAAATAAAAAATTTAATACATTTTAATTGTTAAAAAGAGACATTAAAATAAATTATAAAATTATGATTAAAAGTCAAAAAAATACGGAAATGCTTGAAAACACTCTAAACATGTCAAATTAATGATAGGCTACATATTTACACAAATAAAAGATGTTTCAATATCGTACGAACTGTAAAAAAGTAATGAAAATGATACGAGCAAGCCACGTGAGGCGGAAACGTTAGAGAATAGATATGGAAACTAGATGAATATGTTTGTTATGCATAAAGGTTGTTTCAAACTCCTTTGATTTATGTACGGTATGAACATCCGCATGGTTTGACTAGAAGTTGAACCATTCGTGCAAGCCACGACCGATGAGGGCAGGCCACGACCAACCGTTATGTGCAGGAACGTCTGACGAAGGCCGAACGTGTGTGATGTCCAAGGGCGATGATGGCATGCCATGTCCGACATCGTCCGACCATTTGTGCTGTCCAAGAGCCATGATGGCATGCCACGCCCGATGTCTTTAAGTCATTCTTAATCATCATAGCTTAATATAAGTCATAGGAGACTAACCCCTTGTATATCATGTCATTATCTCATTAGGTATTGCATGAGAATTTCCTTTCATAACAACCCTTCATTTATGAGATCAACACATCATAGTCATATCATAGTAAGGCACACAAGTAATTCATATTCAACCTTGTATCATCATGCCCTTAACATGATCTCACAATTCACATAGTCAAGACATTTCATCATAATCATCATATCATCATCTTCTTAATATAATACTTCAATTGAATACCATTATCAAGTAAAAGCCATCATTATTGAAGTAAAGAACTCAAGATCATAAAATTAGTTGTATCATCACTAATCAATTCAACGTCAATTCATAACCTAGGGTTAGGGGAAAAGCGTTCAGTCTTGAATTCTTCCATAGAACTAGTTCAAATACTAAGAACTACAACAATTAATCCATAAATAATTGTAACATTTCGAAAGTCTAAGAGTGTTCAAGAGCCTAACATGAGTGTCTAAGGGTTGTATCACTGTTTTAAGATAAAAAACAATGAATATAATTAATTTAGGAAATTTAGGAATCAAAACGTTAAGGAACGTGCATGACGTTCGAAAACTAGTTCAAAGTGATGCTAGTGTGCCTTAGCCTATTTGACTATGTTTTAAGAGTCCGAAAATGAAAAATTTTGATGGGGAGGTGTCTAACACATATTAGAGTTAGTTTGTAGTCGAAATATTTAGGTACGAGTCCCCAAGGACCAAACAAAGGCCCTTGAGGAGGACCTTGCAATTTGGCAATACCCCAAAGATACCCCATTGAAGACCAATCTAGAGGTGGATTCTAGGGATGCAAAGGATCAAGTTTCTCCATTAAACTTCATCAATTAGTAATGTATGGATTCCTTTCACC